ATTTAGTATAGAGAAACATCAGGCAACAGCAAGGACGGCTTGACAACAGGATATGCGCATCCAGCCCACACACCCCAATGCGAGGGTGCATTTTTTCCCTCTGTGCTTGTGTAGCATGGTCAATGGCATGGTTAGAGAATGGTCTCTACTCCATTTCTTCAGACAGCCAGAAAATGAGAAAAGAAATCTATATCCTGTATGCTATAATGATCCTGTTATTCATAGCTTCTTTTCATGGAATCATAGAATGCTTTGGGTTGGAAGAGACCTTTAGAGGTCATCCAGCCCAACCCCCCTGCAGTGATTCTACATAAACCTACACTGCCTTTGCATCAAGAATTAACTTGAAGGCCACTTTAACATACTATTGGGATAACAATGGGATTTTTTTTGACACAGGATGTAATGTGACACAAAGTGAGGGAGCCTCAGGTAATTAAAAAAATCCTGCCTGTGCCTCATCAGAAGTTATTCCAACAACAGAGCTAAAACAGACGCTACTTCCTGCCATGCCAAACTGGGAAATCAGGAATATCATAGAATGCACAGCAGTGGTCTGCTTTCAAGAACTAAGTCACTCTGAACTACATTTAACATTGCAAGTGACTGTGCTAGTAAGATTTTAAAATGTATCACTCATTACATACAATTGTCCCTTACAAGCTCAAAGAACTTTTCTCTTCTGGAAGCACATCAAAACAGGAAGACATGCCTCACCCAAGAGTGAAGCGTTCAGTTCAAGGCACAGCAGTTTCCATGTACTATTATGAGGGCAATACAACTTCAAGGCATTTGCCTCATAAATCCATGAGCAGTGGAGTTTTGCTCTTGAATTAACTTCACTGCTACTAATAAAACCTAAGTAGCAGCAATATTTCAAGCATGATTTACTAACTACAGTCCAGTCAATTCTCATGATCTAAAAACATTTAGATTATGAAGAAGAGTTTGAAAGATGATTAACTGGCTTCTCTAGAACTTACAAATTGCCAGTATATGAAATTTTAAAAGATGGTGAGTGGGCCAAGCTAAAAAGTGGGACACTAAAAGTGACAGTGTGCTCTTCCCTCTTACTGTTCAGCAAGCTTGGATTCATTCTTAGCTTAGGATAAATTAACCTCATCTAGGCATTGTTAGTAGCAAAGGACTGCCTTCCATAAGACTGCATTCTCAATGCCTTTGTTCATTCAAGCTGAAAATTTCTATTCCAGGTGACCAGACCGATTTTGCTGAAAATTTCAGACTGATAGGACTCCAAATCTCAGAACAAGATCAGGAAAACAATGTAAAAACTATCAAAAAAAAAAAAAAAAAAAAAAGGAAGAAGAAGAAAAAAGCCCCAAGTACTCATAGAACTCATAGCGTTGCCTTTACCAGAGTGATATGTTTTTCTTCTACACCCTGTATTTTCCTCTACTCCATTAAAAGATCACACATGATTTTGTCTGTAGGACTGCATTCATTCTGTGAACATGAGATCGACTTGTTCTATAGATTAACCAAGGCTGGGTATGGAAATAGGTTGTTATTTGTTAGAATTCCTTCCTTTCTCTCAGAAGGTTACAGGTATGTACTGCATGAAGCGAAAGACTGCAGGATGTGAAAAGAAAGAGCTTCATGGTTAAGGTAATTAAATGCAATCTTGCTTAATTGGACTCTTAACAGTGTGTCTGACACTGAGTTCCTAAGCAATGATGGGTAAATCACTTATACTAAACTCATCACAATTGGATGCTAATTGCATGTTCCTCATGTAACATAAACACAGCTTGAATATGCATCTAAGAACTTATAGTTGTAACTGAAATAAATGAATATATAGATACAAGTATACAATTACAGGAGCATACATTTTGATAAGTATTTTAAAGAAAAACTCAGTTTATCGATTTGATACCCAGAAGCAATGGGGTTTTTTGACCTCTCCTGTGTCTGAGAGTCCCATTTATAAGACAGGGATAATGCTAATATCTTCTCACGTCCCAGGAGGTTATGAAAATGCACTGTTCAAAATGTATTCATCTATTATAGGGATAAGCACTGTGTAAAAGCTCAAGAGGACATGAATAATCCTGAATTTGGACAAGCAGTCACAGGGGTACAGTAAATAAGGCGCGAGACCACAGTGGACAATGCAAATAAAATAAAACACTGTAAAGCAGATGAGCTAACTTAGCACCATTACCCTCTGCTCTGAAGCAGGCAGCAGGAAAACCAGACAGGAGGGAAAGGGAGTATGTAATGAGGTAGTTTTGAACTGCATCAGAATGCAAATGTTTATAGGTTGAATCATAGGCTTCTGCATCTGGCATTTGAGGTCTAGCTTTCAAATCCAGGGAGAAGGATTTTTGAAGAAGCAGTCAATTTTTAATAAGCAGTTTTCAGGCCTCAAATAGGCCTCATAGGCCTCAGTCTCAGACACCCACCTTTTCCACTACCTCTTTTCTCATTCCTTCCCTTCTATTTGTTTTTCTCTTTCTTCCTTACATGCCTTTTGGAAAAGGAACCTGCTCATTTTCTCAGAACTTCAGTAGGAAATTGGAAGAATATAACTGGACTGAGACAATGTTTTCAATACTGAACTCAGTCCTGGAGACCCTCATTAAGAAACTCAGCTCAGAAGCAGCTCAGCTTTTGAGAAGAATCAGCTGAATGCTGTACATATAGAGATAGGGTCCAAGGGGGCTCTAAAATATTCTGCAATTTGACGGCCTAATGAAGGACTCAGAATAGACCTTGGCAGGATAATATATTCCAATATGTTTTTTAAGAGGTGGCTCCAAAATCTTATTTAAACAATTTACATGGGAGGTTCTTTTTGAAGATCTCAGTTGCTGAAAATTTCATTATCAAATGGTGAGTTCTGAAGGACTTTTCTCTGTCCTTTCAGAAATTAATGATTTGGAAGACTTTTTCTCCATCTTCAAGCCTAATTATTTATATATCCCCAAACTAACAGAGAGCAGTTCAGGGACTTGGTATCCATCACTGTGCAAAAGCAGCAATCTAAAACTGAACGGCTTACTGAAAACGATGTCAATGTCAAAAAAAATCAGGCAAGGGATCTTTTAATCCAGGTAGAGAATAAGAAAACTAAACAGTGATTCTGATGGCTTAATAAAACAGATGACGACATCAATTTAAAGGCACAATCAAGTTTCTTACATCTATTTCACCTTAGAAATGTATAATTGAAAACTATTATGTCTCCATCGCAAAGGCAACTATGAACCACACCTCAGAATCACCATACAGTCTCTAAGAGCCACTATCTCAAACAAGGAGAGAAAGTTTCCTTACATACATTTCTTGCGACGTCCACAAAAATGTTGCTTTTGAAACCTTCCATGGTGGTAACCATTCGCTTGAGCATGGTACTTGTAGGAAGTGTGAATTCTGTGATGACCAAAAGAAAAGTATTTGGAATTGGACTCTACTGTGTACCGGTGCACCTTCTCTTCTGCAGTTCGTTTATATAATACATGAGGATGGTGTCCAGCAGGTGATGTGTAGTTGTGCTCCTGTGCTAGCTGCTGAGGTAATGGAGATATAAGGAATTCGATCTTCCGTGTCCTTATCAAACCTGACTAAAAAAAGAAACACCACCACAAATTAGAGAAAAGACTGTAAAGGTTCACAGCTGGAACATGCTAGCTCTTAAAGTGATCTCCCTTCAAAGCCCAGACGGATTGAAATGTGCTCCTCTAAATTAGATTTACTCAAGTTATAATCTAGATAGTCTTCCCAGTTAAAGTATGCATCAGCTCACTTTGGAGATGACCAGGTTTCACCTTTGGTAACACACAAAACATGAATGTTGTGGGACTAGCAGCATAGCACCTTCACACAGTACCATGAATAATTTAGTATGTAATATTAATCCATTCTCCACAGTATAGATTTGTTTGTAGTGTGTTTGTGTACAGGATATACAGTCTCACATAAAAAGAAAATGCTTTTGGAAAATGCAACTTCTAATAAATGCATACATTAGTAAAACAAAATATTTGAATTAAGATTCAGGTTTTTTTCAGAACAAGGCGTTACCAGACGGGAATCCCAGACTTAAGATTACTCTAAGTAGAAACATAAGCACATTATGGTACAGCAGCACAAAGCTGAAGCATCTGAACATTTTAGTACTATCATTCAGTAATCAACTCTGTGCAAATCAATCATCATGAAGGCAGTTTAAAATTTATGCCCTCCTACAAGAGCAAACTGATCAGCGAAAGCAAGTATTTGATTGTTTTCCTTCTTGGATCCCTGAAAGACAGAAGTAAGTATGGGAAAACTACACTGTATTTTTCACATAGTATCTGTGCATAAAACTGCACATGTGATGAAGTGTTTCCAGGATCAGGGCCAGGGAAATGTGGGTGGCACTGAGGAAGTATTTCCATGCAGCTCATTAATCAGTTATGATTTTATTTCATTTCTTGGTTTTGTAAAACATGTTGTAATAAACACTCCTTTTTACCAAGTCAAAAACCAAGAAGAAGTTTCATCAGGTAATTCTATTACTTTATATACGTAATACTAGATACAGATTTTTGTTTTGGATCAGTGAGGCTCTATCATGTGCCAACACCCTCCTGCCAAAATTGACATCCCACGAGGACTGCATATCTCTTATGCTTCAGAAAAATATGTGCAGACAAACAAATGTCAATTGCAAACCATCTTGCCCGACATCTTAAGTCCTCCCAGATCATGATTCCGCCTCCTTCCTCAAAAAGTATTCTTTGAAAATGCACATATTAGACCTGTATCACCTATTCCCTTTTGAAATGGATGTTTTTCTTTAGCCTAACCTCTGAGCACCAGAATGCCAAGGCTATCAGAAGGAGAGTGCCTAATGTAAGCATTGTATATCTTAAGGATTTGTGGAATTTTCTGCACTTTCAGAACTGCTTCCCATGAGGAAAATTCAACAGAAAATTAAAAGCAAGTGAAAATAGAAAGTTACATATGAAATCTTCACAGCTTTAACTATTTACGAAGCTAATGCTAAACTTCACTTTAAGTCTATTCCAGCTGAAAAGATTTATTAGAGATATACACGTCCTCAACAGTCTGTAGTCGTACATTATGCCCTTTTCATGGAAATTCACTTCTGTCTTTCCAAATCAAAGGTTATCTTTGCAGTACTTCCCAATATAAGCATCTTTCACGAGGGCCTAATAATAATGCTCATAAAATCACACTGTGATCTTAATTTTTACAATAGAAGAGATTCCGTATTATGAACTGGGAGGGTCTAATTGCATCCTGAAAAATAATATGAAAACAAACATAGATGATATTCAGATTAACAATTTCCCCCCTCTCCTTTCTTCAGCATGAATTCATAATTACGTATCTCAGCCTACATATACTTAACATTCTAAATGAACGTTAAAATTGCCTCTGTCAATAAGAGACAGGTTTTAAATAATTGACAAGAATTTAACTTGCCTGCTCACTGCAATAATTTGGCATATTTCAAATGTCAGATCACATTTGGTCATGACAAAGTACTTTCCTGTAGGGAAGAAGACTAATATTTTAATACTTATGATGTGTGTCATCACACAATTTAAAAGTGGTTTTGAGAGGTAATCTTTATCTACTAGAGTGCACTGATAACTGGGCACTGCTGAGCGATTTTTTTTTCAGCTGGAAAACAGAAATGTAGTGAATCTGGTTTTTATTTCCCCATTTTAAAGGTTTCCACAACTGAAATTATTCCTGTAGGATTCATTTTGTAAATGATTCAAACCATATGGAACAAAGGGGTTTCTACATTTTCCTGTAAGAAACTGTCCCTGATGTACACCAAGTTTCAGCCCCAAACGTAATTTCTATATTTAACATTATAATGGTGGATTGAGAATTCGGGGCGGCGGTGGGGGGGTGTGTGAGCAAAGTGAATTCTGGGCCCTGTACTGCATGTATATTGCTGCACCTTTGCATAGGCTGTAGCTGACTGCCTTACAAATGTATTCACTTTTTTCCCAGCAGAAATGACCCTAAATCTCCAATAAAAATTCTTTCCTTTGGGTTTTACACCAGACACATCCTCCAAACTGAAAAATGTTGTGTGAATGAAAGATACCTTCTTTTTTGATAACATCTAGTTTTACGAAGTTGTCAAGAAGAAAGGGGAAGTGCCACAGAGCAGTCTGGACACTCATTCAATCACAGACCATTTTCCATTTCTTCCAGGTATGGGATGGTTTCAAGGATTCATATTAAAATAATCTCTTTGGTAATTCCAGAGTAATGCTGAGAATGCTGACCTGGCTTCTGACAGAGATGCAGTCCTCCGGATCACTGCAAAGGGTGCAATTGGGCAATAACTGCCAGATACTTTTCTTGCAGGTTCTTGAATTTTAGCCTTAGGTAAAGCAAAGTGGCCTATGGCTATGGTCATGTTGGCTGGAAAATATGCCAGCTGAGAAATGCCAGAGCACAGAGGCAGGATACTAGCACAGAATCACCTTTTCTAACTTTACACTGCTAAGGAATTCCAGTTTCTTGAAGGCCAGATTTTGGCTAGTCTGTACTCCTGGGCAGTGTAAGTGTTAAAAAAAAAAAGCGTTTCTGGGATTTTTTCTACAAATACCTGAAACATCTCTCTACTTATGAGTTAGATGCAATATGTTTATCCAGCTCAAAGACTTCAGTAGATGAACAAATACTGTCAAAACTGTCATGGAAATTTATGCATTAGGTTTCCTATTGCCAGCACAGCATGTGATTTTCCTTGAATCAGAACTCGATGGTATCTTTCCACTAACTTCGATGGGTTTGGGACCCAACAAGGAAAGGATCAGATAGGTCAAAACTCCATTTTCATTTCAGATTCTCTGCAATTATAGCACCATGAGAGGAAGCAGGATGACAAAATCTAACATTCTTACTAAGTCTAGACAACACAGCATGAAAAAGACCAGGGACTCCTGTCTACTCCCTCTCTCTCCCACTGTGGCTATCACTAATAATAGCAGTAATTGTGAGAATATGGTGGGAAGGAAAACCCAAGAGATTGCTCAGTTGGAATTTGCTGTTCTCTTGTTCTTCCCCCACAACGCATATTTGCTATCCTTCTGCAAGGGATATTCCATGCCATTGGAAAGTAAATGGAAAGACATACATCAATCTGTGTGGTTAGCAAATAATTCTGAATCAATAAATTAGAGGAACTTGCAGTTTGTTTGCAGAAATGTTGAGAAGAGAAGAGAAGGCAACATTCCTCCCGCTTGTTATTTGTTATGAAATGTTTGCTTAGCTCTGGGCTAAAGGAATTTTCAGATCCAATACATCTTTGTGAAATTCCTCAGTATGAGGGTGTTATCACCAAGGTAAGGCACTTGTTCTGTTTTCTTGGTGTGTTTCAAAATGAGGAAGAATCTCAAAATTAAATTTGGACAAGGGAAATGATAATAAAATATCTGCTTCAAAAATTCTTTTAATTGAAGTTAGATTATAAACTGAAAAATAAGGAGAAATTTTTTCACCACTGAAAGTTCATTTTAGCTACACAAAACCAGGTAAATCTTCCACTGATTTTAGACCAACATGGCACGGTTTTGAGAGTCGCACGCTAACATATCTGTTTCTAGCAGGTCTCATTGGCCTCTTACTGCAACAGCACAAAGGCTGCTCCCATTTGTCTCCGCCTGTGTTCTTAGACTCTGAGTGAAGCCTTTGGCAGCTTACCAGCCTGTAAACCTAATTCATTTTGAGGTTTTAGCATCTCCAGAAAACAGACCCTCTATAAAAAACACAGCAGTGACACTGAGTGAAAAATTTTCAGAACTTATTTCTTGCCTATAATTTAACAAAGCTAAATTCTGAGATAGTAGACAAGCCCTTGCTCTAACCTAGAAGAGCATCATGGCTGTGGGTTCTCTGTTAGCATACAAGGCATTTTCATTACATGCTAATTAAATTAAAGGCAACAGCTTGGCCATATGCATATTAAAGTTACAGGGTTTTCATTAACCAGATGCAAATAATGAGGTAGGAAGCATAATGAAACGGAACGGAGAATTAAAACATATGAACAAATGAACTACAAAGTCTCTACTAAACATTACTTAGTACTGACTGATGCAAAGTTAAACTACAGTTCGTATGAAGACAGGAGTATCTCAGCTAAATAAAGTGCTAAAAGTTTGCTTGTATTGTCCAAGGAATACTGCTTATATCCAGAATGCTTTATTCACAGTGTTACGATCATATACATAAAATTAGGTGTTAAAAAATCACTATGTCTACACTGAGAGCAGCTAAATCAATGGCCAAAGAAATCAATGAAGTCTATACCATTAGATGGGTGTGCACATACTCAAGATGAAAAATCTCTTAAAAGGAAGAGTTAAATGTAGTTTCACACCCATTAAAATAGTTCAAAATATTCATGCAAAGTTTTAAAGACCAACTGAAATTGGCATAAAGCTTTCCACAGACTTCAGTGGACATTGATCCAAGACTTCTGTTGTGTTATTTCCCAACTGTCCAGCTCCTAAAAAACACAAATCATTGATTCAAACACATCTTAAGAAGAGTTACATCATGTAAAGTACAGAGACATAAAGTA